TAAATCTGTGAACGTATCTACGTCCTCCAACTTATATGAATCAATGAAATACTGAGTAATGAATGACTTTCTTCTTGAGAAATAAAGCTTCTTACATTTATTTAGATTTAGTTTCAGAAGATTCAAAGAGCACCATGCAACCAAATTATTCAAATCACTTTGAAGATGATGTGATTGCGATTCTACTGAAAAGGAAGAAAAAAGTTTCACATCATCAGCATACATTAAGATATCGCTGAATTTAATGATGTATAAATTATAATTAAATTATGATATATAAATTAAATAAAATGGTTCCTAAGTGGCTAACTTGTGGAACGCCAGACATCACGGGGAATTTATCCGAGGTAACGAGGTTAAACAAAACCCTGAATGATCTACCATGCAGATAAGAGCTTACCCATTCCACTAAGAAGAAAGGTAGCCAGAGGTTGGTTGTCTATGGTTAACCAAATCAAACGCTTTGCGAAATTCACTGACATCAGTGCGAGAGCCACTAGAAAAAGCCTCGAACACATGAGAAGTGAAGTCTAACAGATTGGTGACAGTCGATCTTCCCTTTCGAAACACATGTTGGAGAGGAGAAATATACGATTTCATGGAAAAGGCTATATGCTGAGTCACAATTCGCTCCAACAGTTTAGCCAAGACACTCAACTTTGCAATGCCTCTGTAGTTCTCTACAAGTTGCCTACTATAACTTTTGTGAATAGGAATAAGGAAACAAGTCTACCAACACAAAGGGAAAACACCTAAATTCAAAGACTCATTAAAAATCTTTGAGATAACACCACATAGCTCGCCAGCACAAGATATAAGTACACATGAGGGGACCTGGACCATCAGGACCAGGGGAACAATTATATTTTAGAGACCTCAATCCTTCAAAAACGTCATTTTCAGATATAACAAAGTTAGGAATTGAAAACAAATTAGAAATCGGATATGGATAGTTTGTTGATAAATCAAAATTGGCAGTCGGAAGTATTCCGCAAAGAGATTTGAGGTTTCAAAATCATCCGAGCACTCGGAGCCATTAAGAGACACATGCGAGAGATTTATGGAGATTTTTCTTTTGGAATTAACGAACTTAAAAAAGTATTTAGGATTAGCAGAAGGAGGATTTAACAATCTGAAGGTATCTGCAATAGTATTGGCGGTTGAGAGAATTAAATTTATGCCTTACCACAGAGTCAGCGCAATAGGCGAAAGAAGAACCACTTTTCGAAAATTTTTTGAAAAGCTTGTTTTTCCTATTCTTGTAATATTTAATTGTTTTATTAAAACACGGGGGACACTTACTTCGAGGACGGGACTGCTTGATCGGAACGGATGCAGAAACAGCTTGATTTAATATATTGTAGAACGACGACAGTAAGCTATCAATACTTCCCCCTGAGAAATCAAGCACAATATGAGGAAGATGTGATTTTAGCATGGAAACATTGATTTTATGGAAATCATAAAATTTATATGAAATATTTGAATTTGGAACGTTATGGAAGTTCGACGAACCAACATGCTTGCAATGAAAGGAAATACCCAATGCTGGATGATATGGATCCTCAGGTAAACTAAGCGGAAGACAACGATTAACACAAATCTCAGGAAAATTGGCAAAGCAAAGATCAAGCAATCTACCATTCCAATTAGGGGTACCATTGTATTGAACTGAATTATGATCAAATAATTCATTAAAGAACACAACGGCTCTACCAGATGTTGAGGTAGGAATCAAAAAGCCAGAACTATCACTGTAACACCAAGTGACTTGAGGCAAATTGAAGTCACCCAACGCAATGACTATATCGGTAGGTTTAGATTGCTTGGCCACTTCACAAATGAGGGCGGCCTGCTTCATATACACAGAGATATCCGAATTTGAGGGAATATAGGAGCAGGTCACATATAAGTGTATATTGGGAAATTTGACTCGAATGGCAATAAATTCAACGTCGGGAATAGTTGGAAATTCAGGTGAATAGGAGGGAACTGCCGAAGAAATGGCAATTAAAACACCACCACCATTGCGAAACAATCGATCGTTTCTGAAAACTTGAAACGAATTATGGAAAAGTTCAGACGAATGTAGGTCCGGCTTTAACCATGTTTCAGTGAAGACCAGACAGGAAAACTTCGTGCTCACTGAATTTAGGAAGGTGGAACGAATTTTTGAATTTAGGCCCCTAACATTTTGATAAATGAGAGAAAATGAGCCTGAAGAAATATTTAGTTTTTTGCGAGGGAAAGAGCTACTGCATTAGCATTACGGGGTCGATCCCGAGGGATGAATTCCTTAATTAAGGATCCAACCCGACACAGTGGTTTATAAACGGAACTAGAATTTTAAAGGATGAGATAGCTCTAGATTGAGAAGGAGCCAATTTGAAAATACTAATACGCTTTAAATTGAGAGAAGGGGCTTTCGCTTTTTATGTTATCAACAGATAGCTTTTTATATTATCAACAGATGTATCTGATGCCAGTCTTGACACAAATATTGGCTTTTTGGGAGGAACTGCCTTCAAACATATGTCACCTGTACTAGGAGCAGCAGGGTTTATGGACGGGGAGTTATGAATTGGGGAAAATATAGAAGGTGTAACCACACTTGCACGAGCAGCTTGTGCGACGTGCCCAGTTCTGCGGCCGGCGTTCACACCCGAACAGCCAGGAGGAGAGGACGATTTACTATTATCATTATTAGTTTTAGGCGATGACGCCTGAGAAGATTGCGTGACATCAATGGGAGGAGATACCCTTGCCACTTCAGCTTAGCTCAAGCCAGAAGGACTTCCCGGCTCTTTTGTAACTTTTATGTTACCGACCGACTCAGCACTAGCAGAAACGCTAACATTCTTCATAGACTTTAAGAAATTGCTAACTTGCACCGACGAAACAGACTTAGGAGAACTCAGAGTTGACGAACCACACGCTACGCTACGAGTTGAAGCTTTGTTAGCTGGAAAGCAAGATGACTGTGCAATATAACGACACTCATCAAACCTAGTCATGATTATTTCAAATTTCTCCTACAAGGAGCCGATATTTTTCCTCGAATCTGAGAAACAATTTCTCGTCTCCGTGAAGAGTTTGTAGAAATCAATGTCCCGCTTTCTGCAGTCAGGACATGACCATCGTAAACCTTTAGAAGGGTCAAGGACTGCATCAGCAGCGCGGCCGATAATACCAGCACACTTTGCATTTCCAAAACGATCACACAGCCAACAAAAAATGAATCGTTCAGATTCAGGGCCAGTTTTTGCACGACATGGTGTAAATAAGCAATCCATGTCCATTGAAAACAACCAAAGTAGCTTATGAAGGAAAAAAAAGGAAAACTAAAAAAATCCAAGGCACAAATTTTTAGCAAATTAAAGCAAATTTCTCACTTCCCTGCCTACTGTAAATATAGAGCGAAAGCTAAAGACACTGTAAACAAAGATTAACAGACAAATAGAGACACTTTTACTAAGAGCTCAATTGTTGATTACACTAAACCAAAATGATTTTTTCACATAAATGGTAGATAATTATATGTAAGTCGGCTTTGAATTTTGGTTTGATTCAGAAGGGAACATTTTGTTATTATTATTATTATTATTATTATTTATTTAGGTCAAAGAAATACATTTTAGGCATAAAATACAAGACAAGCAGTAACAACTAAAATTGTCGACTCTTCATTTTTTGAAAAGGGAACATTTTAGAATATTAAACCCCCGCCGAAAAGCCAAGCCAAGTTCGGAAGATATTCTTTTTCGTCTCCCAATCGTCATATAACGGTCGTGTCAATTACTGTTAATACCTTTCTATTCACTAACGGTTGGTATGATATTGTGTTAGCACATAATTCATCGGTCGTCGTCGATTTAACCATACATATGTGCAGATGTCTAAGCGTTGAACTCTAGAGATAGGTGCTGCGTTAGTTGTACGAAGGGTCGAAGAGGATGAACCAAGCCATTGATATTTATATTTTGCATTTTATTTATATTATGAAAAATGAGAAATAACAAACTATGTTTTACGTAGACTAGACTCTGTCGATAGTTCCCAAGAATGCTTCTATCATTTCGGCAAAGAAAACAATATTTAAATGCTGCATACAGGATTTCAAAGCATATTCTTAAAGGTTATTACTATCATGCATTTAATATAATATGAATAATTATTCCTCTTGGCACAGCTAAAACCAAGAAAATGTAAAAAAAGCACAAATTTTTCTAATAATTATTAAATACAACTTCTCAATGACAATAGTTATCTTGTAAATCGTATAAAAAAAAAGAAAGCATAACAATATATTAAATATATAGCTTTTACCGCTTTTTACAACTTGAATGGATATTCGGTATATTCTCTATATTAATAACTTATAAATAACTAAACTTTGGAAGTGTCTTCGTATCGCTGCTCTGGATTAGTTTGAGCAGCGTATGCATTCGATTTTGATTTGTTGGCCTTATAATTAATAAAGTACACCTCGGGAGGATTAACATTAGACTGATCTGGTTTTTTAATTATAACATAAATCAATGTAAGCGGCTGGTTTATGATTACGTATCAAAGTTATGCGATACTGTTTGCGTGGGGCTACGTAGAAGGGCTGAGATGGAGATGCCGATGAATAGACTTGATGATGCCTAGGTAATTGTAAAAGTATTTTATTCGCATCTGCTCTAGTGGGTACTAGCACATCTATTATTTCATTATGATTATTTGGACGTTTCGAATTTGCGTAATAAACACTTTGATCCGCGGGCAATTGCTGACCACATTGTATGCTTATGCATTAAGGGATCAAAATATTGTTGTTGTCGTTGTTGCTGTTGTTGTTGATCTTCTGTAAATTATGCAGCAAAGATTTTGGTAATACATTTCTTAGATTTAAATTATTGGCGTTCGAAAAATGCCCGTCACCCACAAAGATTAGCCGCGTAACCGTAATAAAACAAAGCTATCACAAACGCACACATCATTATAGATATTAATCTTACCTTTTTTTTCTAAAACAAAAAGTCTTATTGCGAAACACGGTATAGATCAAGTTATGGTTGATTGTTGTTAACCTTCGTTTTTTCTGTAAACACCACCGAATATTCGATAGCTTGTGAAGATGAAGATTGACATTCATTTCCGATAACAAAACTACTAAACTAAACCCCGCACGCATTTTACATTATTTATATATAGAGTTGTCAATGGTTGGCTCGATCATCGCAACCGAAGGAACAGTAATAAAAACAAAAATATTGATAAAACAGCAGTAGCATATTTAACTAATGCGATGGGCGATATTGCTGGCTCTGTTGCTTATTTACTTCATTGAAAAGAGGAGAGAGAAAAAAAAAAGGAAAAACAAACAAAATTATTATACAAATTTAACTAACACTAATGCAATCGATTACACTAAACTAAAGTGAGCGGTGCTCCAAAATTGTTCGTCCACTAAAACAATAAATTGCTACTAAGTTAACCTAACAATCAAGCAACTAACTAAAGCAGTAAATGCGTTAAGCAATACTTGTTATGTTTGGTAATACGACGATCTACAACGATCCATTTAGCTTCGACAAAGGTCCCAGGCCGTATTAAAACTACAATTTAAACTACATTTTTCTATAATTTGGCTGCATTTTGTTAATAATTGCTCAAAGTAAGAAAAGGAAACTATATTTGTCCTGGCACTGGCATATCCAGCGCTACATTTGATTACTAAATAAAGCAATGATCCATTTGTCCTGGACATGCCTCGTATATTGTAAATAATTTAGTAGCACTTTGTGCTTGGTTGCTTAAATTAACAAATCAATCTAAATTTACATTGCCTTGGATATCCCTTACTATAGCTTTGGCATTATATTTTATTGCTAAATAAAGCAAGGATCCGTTTGCCTTCTATGTACCTTCTATAGCGTATATGGTTAAAACTATAATTTGGCAGCATTGCAAATTAAAAACTGTTTTACGACTTAAATAGGTTGTTCTTTGCTGCGTGAGGAAGACCCTTGATGCGATTTACTTGAGTTGTTTCAAAAATAAAATCTTTGAACAGGAAGCTCAACTATTTGAATTCAGTTATTTTTGAACTTCATATCGTAATCAAAAAATTAAAGATGAGATATAAAGCTGGAAAGAAAATTTTTTGCCCTACTGCTTCTTTGCTTAAAGCTTGCAGCTATCTATGTGAATTAATTGAACGAAGTTCGAGAACTTTGCGAATTCAATTTAAACGATAGCCGGCGCCTTCCAGTGTGTGGGACA